GTTCTGATATCAAGGATACCATCGCAACAATAGAGCCTCATAAAAACATTCTTATCTTCTGTTTTATTTTCCTGTATTTCCATAAGAAGATTGACGACCCCGATTTAAGCTCAGAGCCTCCTTAATTTTATTTGATCATTTAAGGTGGCTTTAGACCGGAAAAAAAATTGCGTAGTTTGAAGTGCTGCCTTGCGTAAGACCCTTGAATGGATTGTGCTTGTGAAAGAGTGCTCAGCTACTGTGATGAGCATGTCAAAATCCAATTCTGATCAATTTTTTCCATGGAAAAACACAAGTACATGCTTGTGCCTCATCCTTTATTGTAAAATTAATCCAGCAACTAAGAGCGAATAAGGTATATTTTCTCTAATTATGTACCTCCGTACAATGTTCAAGCTTTATATCTCCCTAAACAGGCGAATGAGAATCTTGATCAAACAGTAACGGTACCAATATCAATACAAACGGTTCTCAATAGTAGTTTCGACGTGTAATTTAACCAAAGCTATATGATAAGTGTTGCGTGAAGATCATCAGTAGCGTATACGTAAGCCAGGAAGCAATTATATTTAGGAAGTATATCGAAAGCTTAGGTGAGAGGTTGAATAATGAAAAATTATCATTTTCCCAACTCAAAATTGGAAGAATTGTATCTTAAGAATTATACATAAATATATTTTGTCCCTGCCGTTTCACATTTTCTGATTAAGAAAAAATAAAGGCTTAGTTGATATACTTGCCTGTAAAACGCTGACAACCTGAACTAACAAGAAATCGTAAATAAGGCGTCGAAAAAGAAGAACATGAGGTCTACCGCTGAGTTTTTCTCGTCTTGATCTTTTAAATTAGCAATGTTCTGTCGCATTTAGTTAAAGCTGAAGATAGTAGTCGTTCTCGCTATTCTTCGCGCAACTAACACTTGCAACAAGATATCACATTATTCAAGAGAAAAGACTGCTACTGCTTGCTAACCTGTGACATAACTAAGTTCATCTCTACTTCTTTCAGTCTCTTTTATCTTAGAGAGAGAGAGGTACGCGTCATCGCGATACATTGTTCTATTGCCACAACGATTTTTTGGCCTGGCAGAAAAATGGGTGTGAGGATCATCAAATGACAACGTTGTCAAAAGATAATCATGCGGAAGGCACTTCAGTTACGTATTCCGAAAGATATTGAGGTGAAGTTCGTCAGGGCATCGGGAAACGGGTCAGGCCGCAAGAATATTTAGGTTGAGTTTTTCAATAAGATACAACTCAAATGTTCTAAAAGATTTTATTTATTTACTCGTTCACAGCGCCTAACGAGTACAACAAACATAAAAATTTAAAAATCCGGCCAGTTCTGACTCGTTTTGGCGCTTTTTCTTTTCTCATAAATGTCAGCCTAACAGGTGATGGATCAGCTACGTCCGATCGCGACAATTCAGAACATTGAATTCGGCTCCGCTTTAACCCTTTAACTTCCATAAGTGACCAAGACAGAATTTCTCCATACAATATAAATACAATATCAAGTAGACGAATGATGAGAATAAAGAACAATATCAATTAGGGGATTATAAGTTTGATCCAATACTAAATTCTCCAAACTAACATCACAAGAACTGTATGGAAGACAGTAAGAAGACTTACCAATGAGATCTTGAGAGTTAAAATGTTAATTGAATGAGTTTTTCTACGACAACATTTTTCCATTTTAGCACTCTTGGACTGATGATCCTGATGGCGACTGAATATATTGAATAAATAAAAGCTTTTGCTTCTAAAAGCAATCGAAGCCCGCAGATGAATCAAAATTTCTGTTCTATGTTTATTTGTTTGTTTTTTTTTTGTAAACATTTCTTTGCTACCTTGGTGTTTTGTCTCGCACAACAAGAGACGCCATATTTCAAGGTAATTTGGTATTATCAACTGAGTTGATAACGTAAATTGGCCACCGTAAAGAGTTTCAAGGCTGACACTTCGAGTGTTAGCCCTTCGTCACAGAGAATGGTAGTATGGAATGGTGTTTCGCTCGAGATGTCAGCTTTGAAACTCTTTACGGAAGCCAATTTACGTTATCAGCTCAGTTGATAATATCAAACTATAAAGTTACCACATTGAATATCGGTACATCTAGCCTGCCGCACTGAGAACCTTTACATATGCGGTTTTTACGCCGTATCACTCTCCTTTCGTGTGCTCTAAGAACACTCTAAAACTACTGACACATTTCATTGGCGAGCAAACCCTCTAACATGTTAAAATGGCTCTTTACAGTCGTTTATTTTAAGAACAACAGTATTTCTCAAGAGTGACAATTTTACATCGTAGAGTAGAATGTAGTCAATCAGTCAATCATCGTGGCGCGCGCGGAAATGTGTACTATAGTACGTCTCTTATGTACTAGTCCTTTCTGATTATTTTATTTTAAACCATTCAAGGTATAACGAGGTGGTAGAAAACGAACCAAAGCAAATTGAAGAGAAACGAAGCGATAAAGACAATTGTGACTGAACAGGATCAGCAGCAAATACATTAAACTTAAACAGATGCAGAACTGCTGGAACAATCACTGCTAAGGCGAGATAAGCTGTCATGTAAAGCGCTTCATCCTCAAAAACAAGGACTGTTTTTTAGGGCTCAACCATTTATTTGCACATTTTCCAACACGGGGTTGCGTAAATCATCTGACTTAAACGTTACTATAAATACCACAATGAAAGGCGAAGTTCACCTTGCTGTCCCATCCTCCCATTTTCCTTCATAACCACTTGAGACAGTTGTGGAACAAGCTCTGAAAACGCCCTCATTTACTCTTAGTATGTAAATACAAGACCTCTATAATTGCACCAGAAGACTTTCTTTTCCGCGTTTCTTTTTTAACTTCATATATCATTTACCAGGTAACTTTAACGTAGACTTAGTTAATTAAGATTTTGCAATTTCGTGTCATATCTTCCTAACATGACGCTTTCAAGAGCAAAGTAATCGCCAGATTTTCCTGTACACAAGATATTGACAAAGTACCCCTCAGTAAAAAAAAAAGTTATATTTTGTCTCATTATACTTGAAGGTTTGAGAAACTAAAGAGCCGCGAAGCCACTTTGCTCTACATTCAGTTTATACTGCCAGAAAAGAAATTTTACCTTTAAGTTTAGTTTTCGTGTTATTACTCTCTTTTCTACTACGAGGAAAAAAATAAGGAATTGAATTACGTTATATACACTAAAAAGTGAAAAAAAAGAGTGACATTTTTTTAACTTAGTCTCTGTGACTGAATAAATTTTTATTCTGTATACAAAGATGCTGAAAGGAAAACTTCAAGGTTTCTTCAAGGTTTCAACCTTTTTGTTTCAGCCCGTTTGTGAGAAAATAGATTAAATTACTCCTCATAAAGGAAAGGAATCATTTTGTTTAATCAGCTGATATATACGGCCAGGATATATTGATACAACCAAGAAAAAAAAAAAAGGAAAAGGATAACATCAGATACCTGTCACAACAATATTTGGAGAAAGAATTACGTTTGTTTGTTGTTTTTTAAATTTGAATTACAGTTCGTTATTACGGGATAAATTACAATCTGTATCACAAGATATTCAAAGAAAAAGCCTCAATGAAAAGAATTTTAAGCGCCGATTTTTAGGGCGTTCTTCAAAATCTCAGCTTTTTTCCTCCAGCGTGTTCGTGCTCAAATATGCTTGTGCGGGTGTTTCAATTTACTTGTCAAAAAACTAGGTCAATATTATACTTAGTAAAAAAACACAATTTCTTGCGTACAGTTTTTTCTTGATTGTCGGGAACTTGATTAAATACTTATGACGCATATTTGCACTTATACTGTACACAGAGCACCAGTAATACATATATCTGCTTGAAATCGCAAATGAGTATCTCACTTCACCCAACGATTCAAGACATTAAGAAGTTTAAGCCACGCATCCGTGGAAGTTCTCCGAAAAAAACACAAAAAGCTAGTTGGAACGTGTAGTGAATCCTTAGCCGGTAAGATAAAATATTTTATTCAACATTTTCGTTCACCCAAATGAAATACTATTTGATGTCACTCTGAACATCCTAAGAAAAAAAACCAATTAATGAAATTAGCTTCTGTCGTTTCAAATGGTTGGCTATTCAAAAGTTATCCATTTTGTAAATTTTACTCGCCAACTGTAACAAAACGCATTACAACATATGGAATGACCAAAAAATGTCCGACGGCACCCAGACAGAAGAGAACGGCTTGCGATAGGATAGTGTCACACTTTTCTTTTCCTGCTTGATTAAGCAAAGTCTCATCCAGAGCTGATTTTATCTGAAAGTAATTCTGTGATTGGAAAACACTCAATGCAACTACTTGCGAGGCATTTCTTCTGAAATAATTTTTTTCGTAAGGTGTGGTCGTCCACTTTCCCATAATCTCTTCAGTTTTTTTTAAATTTGTTTTTGTTTCTGGGTTCGTAAGCAAATTGAAGCTGTGTATCTGACAATGGCAACTAGAAAGAGCGTTATGAGTGTTCTGGGAAACATTTTACATTTTTCGGTCGTCATTATGAAAAATAACACACACTTAATCTCTGCAGTTTTTTTAACTGTTTCTCAGTTCCTGGACAAGCCACGACTATATATCTGACAATGGCTACTAGAAAGAACATTATCAGTGCTCTACGAAACATTTTACGTTTTATGGGTCGTACTCTGCAAAATAACAGAAATTTGTTTTCGTAGTTCCATATGGTTCGCAAAAGGCCCAATCAAATCTGAAAAGAACCTCTGAAAATAAAACACCCACGCATGAAGTTCTTAAGTGACTGGGTGTGAGCTCAGCACATTTTTTTGTGGCCAGTTAGACTTGTCATGATCATGGTCAGCGAACTATTTCTCAAGTCAGGATGGCCAATCGTTTACCATCTACTCGCATGATGCCTAAGATTCAAATCAAAACTTATAACAGTAATATGTATTTTCAGTTTAACGATGACCTCTATGAACTTTTTTCCCTTCTTTGTTTAGAAAATGGCCCAGGATAGCTTTTCAAAGGACGGTTTCATCATTGCTTTCACGTTTTCAATGCTCATTAACCTATTCGGCAACATTCTCGTCTGCCTGGCGGTTCTGGCATTTCGAGACATGCGCATTCCAATGAATTATCTTCTGGTAAATCTTGCCGTCAGTGATATGATGGTTGCAGTCTTTATGTCTCCGAGGTTCGTCTTCAGCCGGACGATGAACCACCCTAGGGGGACTCTCGGTGATTACCTGTGTAAGATCCTTACCGGAGATTCTTTCACCTGGACAGGTGCACTGGCTTCAGACTTCACTCTCGTCTGCATCGCAGTTGAGCGATATCTTGCCATCAACTTCCCCTATAGTGAGACAAAGAGGCTGACAACTAAAAAGCTTAGATTCGTCATTCCACTTTGCTGGATCTTTGCTATCGGCGTCAACCTACCGCCGTTTATGTACCTCAAGTACGACGAGAACTCTGGAAGCTGTGTCCCTTTCTGGCCAACACCAAACTTTATGAAATACCACAGCGTCATTAACGGCCAGATATTCTTTGTCTTCCCTGCACTGATTATGGGGGTGCTCTACGCTCTCCTAATTTATCAACTCTGGTTCAGAAACACAGCTGCAACCACGTCTGTGTCTCAACAAGCAGTGCTCAAAAATAGACGTCACTCCACCAAGATGGTGATCACAGTGAGTTTGATCTATTGTATCTGTTGGTTTCCAAACTGTTTTGCTTACATCTACGTGGCCTTCTCGGCTAAGCAGTTGTTCGGGGAGGTACACACTGCATCGGTGTTGATGGTTTCTTTCAACTCCGCTGTCAACCCTGTGATTTACAGCTTGCAGAGCCATCGATTCCGCCGCCATATAGCAGCGCTGTTGAAAAGATGCCGTCGCAACAAAGTTGGTGTTCATTACAAAACTACAGAAACAAACACTGTTCAAACCTCTACAACGTAGAGATTTGTAAACATTTCAACTCTCCAAGGAGAAGGGAAAGAAGGAAAAGGTAGGAGGGAAAACGTTCTTTACATTCGGCTTCAGACGGTTTGGAAGAAAATAGCTCTACCTTCCCACAACTGAATGAGTAGGGTCTCACTAGTGCTACCACAAGAGCCGCGAAGCTTGCGGGTTTCGAGTCTTCGAGAGGTCTGCAAGAAGAGATAAGCAAGGGTTCAGGCTCTCATTGCTCGTGCCAAATCCCTAACACACACCTTGCACGCCCTTTTCGCTCGTGGGGAGAAACTCGTGGGCCTTGCTACTCCTGTCCCAGTACTAATCATTAAGCCCTGCCTGCAGACTGGCCTTTTCATCGTTGGTGCTTCTTTGACTCGTCCCTATCTCCCACGCACTTTCCGCGGTCAAAAAGGGTGCGACTTGGGGCGAGTCAGTGTCAACTTAGTGAACTGATAGCATCAATGACCTTATAAACTTCATATCTTGGACAGAAGCTAAATCGCTATTTTTGGATCATGATAATCGGGAAAAAGAGGTTTCAAGATCGATAAAATGACCCGCGCTAATTCTTCACCGTCATAAAGAATTCTCGTTACCTTAGTTCATAGTTTCGATTTACAACGCTTCACCCTTCAACTCCCAGAAGTGATTGACGTGTAACTTCTCCCCATAATATCCATACATTATTTAGCAAACAGCCAATGAGAATAATCAAAATGATCATGTAGAAGTTGTTATCTTCAGTGATCTAACACCAAATTCTCATAATTGATTTAAAGGAAATTTGTAACGTTAAGTGGGGAGAATTTACAATCAGATCTTGGGAGTTGTAGAATAAAGTTCTTCTCTACCTTGCTTTTATCTTAATTGGATTGTTTTCATTTCATTTTCCTCGAATCTCCCTGAATGCAAGAAATTTAAAGGGAAATACTGGTCAAGTTTTTGTTGGACTATTGAATCATTACATCACACATTGACTCAATATATGCTGACGTAACTCCCTTTCCACATTTCTCCAAAAGGAGACATCATTTGATAAATTTTCCCTGCCATTTCATTGCGAAACTCATGTAAATAAGAGCATTAGAAATTTGCGGTCGTGATTACAGGGAATAAGCTCCTTGACCCTAGAAGTGAAAGCTTAATTGCAGCTCTAGTCCGTGGGGAATTTCAAGAATCAGCTGTTGCTAAATCATCAACCCAAGCGTTAGATAAATGTGTTCCCTCCGTAGCTAAGCCTCATGAAGAACAGGAGTTAAAGTGGTTTGAATTTTTACAAGATTAAGTAGCTTTTCTAGTAGTGTTGTAGTCAGCTGAAATTATGGTGGAATCACTTTTTACAGCGTTCTTCGCTGAAGTATTATTGATAAATTCCCCAATAAAAATGGTAAAGGTTTTTCATATTCTTTCTTTAATTGTTAGCACCATGCACTAGTAGCTTTAATAGCCATTTATATAGCTTTAAAGTAGATATAGCGATGTATAAATTAAGCGTCTATACTGATCCACACTTAAGTCTTAGAAATAAATAAAATACATAAAGAAAACAAACTTCTCGCTTCACTCTAGCTTGAATAAACTGAACAAAACTGTTCAATAAATGCTTAAACTAGGCTTTTCCTTTATCAGGAGTTATAAATAAAACATGGTTTTTTAACCACAAGAAAATTTTTCGCATTTCAGTGCTTGCCTTGCGGTTTTTTCATGCTCAGATTTACAGTCAAAAAGATGTGCACTGCGCTTACAATTTTCAAGCGTGAGCAATAAGCAGCAATAAGCTACGATCGTATCATCATTAATGAGGTCCTCCAGTGTTGAAGGTTCAAAGTAAAAGACTTTAGTTCTGAATTGTCTAAGTTTTCAGGGAATAAACGACCCAAGGAATTCCTTGAACCGCTTACGAGCATAAGTTTCTGTCGACATTTCAGTAGCAGTTCCTTTGCGGTGGGAAGCCGGACATATTTTCCGGAAGCAGTGAGCTCAAAGTCCATATGCTCTGTTGAGGTTTCGCGTTTTCCTATCAGCGCGGTTGGATCAGCGACTAACGCCATTGCTTTTGCTAAGAGAATTTGAGACAACCATTCGTTCCTTTCATCTTGCGAGAAAGAACACAGAAAAAATGTCCGATTAGCAATCTTGCCGGCAGATACAGATCGCTTTACAAGCCGTAAGCAGTACTTTGTATGTTTATCTGCCTGTTCGTCTATATACAGAGACATGTCATTGAAGAATATAACCTCCTTGGGTGCCTCTTGCAATGATTCCGCTTCAGTTCTATAGTAACATAGGCACTCTTTGCTCAGGACGAAATAACGGAGATGCCATTGTTTCAGAATTTCGCTTTGCTTTAGAAGGTAACCTTGTTTTAACGGCTGTGTGTATGCACCTTTCATTTCTTTCGAAGCTCTCCCGGGTTTCCAGGCAATCAATTTCCGTCGCTATGTGTACAGGTCTGTTTTTCAAACATAAACTCTGTTTCTGTACTTTACACAAACTTCAGAAGCGGCAATCTTTCAGGAATCAGACGGGAACTTCGTAATTCCTCGAACCTCAAATGCGAGAATACCGTCTCCAAGAATTTATATAGACGTCAGGCAAGGTCAACAACGGAAAACCGGTCATGTGACACCATGTGATGAGCGTATGCTCTTTGCCTATCGAGAGATGACTGGCTGTTCCATAGGATATCAAATGTCCGAAATAAGAGTGCTTTGATTGAAAAAATTCACTACTTTTTAAAAATAGCAACGCAATCTTTTCCCCCCTGCCGTCAACAGTTTATAGATGTTATCTGTGTGCACAGAAGCATGTCATGCGACCCATGGAAATTGATATGATATGAGGCAATACGGACGAAAATAGAATATGCTTTCTCAGAAGAACCGGTATTGCTTATGTAAGTAGCTTTTCCTTTTTATTTCGATACTGATGGAAAAATTTCCTGAGGTTTGGATCGAAGTACTTTCCTAAATTTACCCTTGTCTTTGGTCAGCAAAAACCTCAGACTACAATTTCGGAGATCACGCAAACACGAGGTGAAAATAACACGCGATCCTTACACTATGTCGCAACGAAAACGGCGACGCGCATTGAGCCATAAATTTCAGTTTCAGTCTTCAGAATCTCGCAACAATTTCGATCTCTAGTGCAAAGTTTCTTTCAGTTTCAGAACCATTTTCGACTAAATGTGTAACAACAGTTTGGGTCCAAATTGCCGTATTCAAATAAGGGTCATGTCATTAATAACCGTTCTTCAATGAAAATTATTAGACAGAGAACTTTGTGATAGTATGACGTAGTTCTGCGGAAATCTAATAAAATTCAGAGATAAAACACAGGAGGGGCTATTTTTCTGATCCTGAGAACAATTCTTTTCCCCTGCCTATGCAGCCGTAGTTTTCTAAGGTCTCTTGGGTGTCTTTCAATCGACAATTTTCCCTATTTAAATTGGCTCCCTAAAAAAAATATTTTTATTTCGAAAGTATTCGATTTCGGTTATTTCCCGATCTGACAGACAATCATTCTAAAGAAAGTCTAAAAATCTGCTTTAGTATATCAAAATTGACCCCGTGTTGACAAATGTCCAAATATGTGAAAACGCGGTTTATTCGTGTTCTGCGAACATGGCTGGGATGTTTATTTAGGAGGCCCTCAGTAAAATGTCGACTGAGACTTGGAAGTTAATCTGGAAATTCGCAAGAGGAAAATTTGATTTAGCAAGGGGAGAAACAAAGGTCCGAAATCGGCCGTGATTTGACGCACGTGCATGGTATACCATCGAACTGATACAATTGTCTGATATGTTTTTGAATTTATATTTTCATTTTCTTCGCTGAAAACCACCTGAGTAAAGAACATTTTGGAAGATTTCACAAAACAGAATGCATACGTTGTGGCTGCTCAAGATTTCTTGAACAGAATTGTCCCTTGTTGTTTGAATTTGTTAGCCACCATTTCTCAGAAGTGTTTTCATTTCCGATTTGATCCTATCAGCCAAGGACAGATTTTTAAATCTCTTGCTTCGGGGAATCTTTTTGAATTTTTCTGGATAGAAGGCTTGTTCAGTATCATTCTAGCGATGGAATGAAACAGATCTTTTCTCTCTAACTCATTTATTTATATTTTAAATATATATACATGATAAGAATTTCTTGCATAAAATTTACGAAACTTCTTTCAGCTGGACTCAGTCCTCCAGCTGAAAACAACAATATGTTTGGGACAGCCAGCGCTGTTGCATGTAATTGTTTATATTTGCCATCCGTTAGGATGTCAAAATGTTTTGCAATCAGTTGTAAGTTCAAAGGAATTGCGGTTTTTTTTAAGCATTGAATTACATAGGAAGGAGGTAGACAAAGAATCGGATCAGTCTGAACTAATTGTTAATACCGAGAGGTATGTATGATTGGTAATATTCTAACGGTGATTCTTAAGAAAGACGAACGGTGTTGCGTCATGATCCGTTGAATCATAAGTAGATAATTGTATTAAAATTTATCATAATGACTGTTGCTGGGGTGAAAAGTTTAAGTCACCCCATCAGTGCGCATAGAGCAAAATCGAACCTAGAGGTGTAAGATAAGGTTGCAAATGTAATAAGGAGTTTGAAAACTTTTATGCTTAATTCTTTAAGTTGCTCATAGTCAGCAGTTAAGACAGCCTCGGCTAAGCATTTAATAAAGGGATTTATTATTCCTCTATTGTTTCATTCTCGAGCGTTTTGACATCAAATTCCGAAAGAATTCCTATTGTCTATCCGAGCTTCGTACCCATCTGAAATTTGGTGTGCGCGAAAGACGAAAACAACCACAACAAAATCATTAGTATATTCCTCTGACCAACAAAAAACCCCTGATGTTTTTAAAAGACTAATCTGTTAAAGTCAAGCCTAAAAAACGAACTTAAGTTTGGATCATTCAGTAAGGCCAATTTGTGGCTCCGTTTTCCGTCCGTATAGTTTCCCTGTTCTAGAGCGTAATACCGTGGCATATTTTACACGTTCTGTTGCCTAAATAAGGTAAAATTGCGTATTAGTAGAATGATAATTCCGGTTACCATAAGGCCTCCAGGCAAGATACAGGCTCTGGATTCAAGAAGTTCTGTAACATCTGAAGACATATTGAGTCATTGACGCTCTACGGTGCTGCTTACTACAGAATTTTCCAACAGCCACATCTTTAAATTTAATTTTAACCCTCTAATCTTTTTTTTGCTTCAGGATCACAAAAAATTTCAGCGCACTGAATGAGTAACCTTGGAATGAAATACTAACTACTGACACAACCGCTATGTCGCAAAACGGAAATGACGACTCCAGATTCCATCACATTTTGCGGTCAGGCAGATGTAATCAGTCTTTTTTTTTCCTGTTTTCAGCAAACAAAAATTGTGAGTTCTGAGAAAATCTCATTGTGACGGCTGGTTTACGTGCAAGTGACTCAATCATTTGTACTTGCACAGGCATCATGCGGACCTTAGCTCGGTCAAACCTGGATCCAAATTTAGATATTGATGACATCATAAATCCACCTTTCCCAGAAGTTGCGTAGTATAGAAACAGATTTTTAAAACTTTGATCACAACTCTTAGGTCTGTTTATTTAAACAAAGCTAAGTCGTTGTTTATAAAACTGCGTTCTAAACTACCTTCAATTTTGCCGAACCCTTGTAACTGAATATTTATTTTTGTGAACAGTGTCAAGATGGCCAAAAGCTGACAGAGGGAAAAGTATTTTTTGAAATCTAATCGATCCACTCGTAGGAGAACCAAAGGCCTATTGATTGCGCAAAAACCATGGTTTCGGCTAGACATAGTGTAAATAACCGACCCTTAATGTTTTTCCGTTTTACTATTCTGGTCTCCTCTAATCAAATTGCTACTCAGAGCGTTTCTTTGGAGCTAATAAGGACGCTAACCTTTTCACTTCCAAGATCTCATTAGTAATTCTCCTTAAAGTCTGCCATACAATTCTTATAAAGTTAGTTCTAAGAATTTGGTATTGAATCAACTAACAATCCCTTAGCCGATATTTTTCTTTATTCTCATCACTTGTCTGATTTATATTGTATTGATTTAGTAAGGAAAGAATTATGTCTTGGTCGCTTATGGGATTTAAAGGGATAATTGAATTTTAAAAGGCTTTACCTATGAGATGATTAAGTCTGATTCACTTCGCTAAGTTTTTTGTTCAGTTCGGAAACGTTATTTTCCGAAAAAAAACAGTCTAAAGACGGTCAGTTTCGCTTAAAATCTACTTCTTCGACAGAAATGCTACACTTTCTATAATCTCAACGTCAGCGTAAAGCGGAAACAATTTTTCCTGATCAGACGCGATAAAGAGCTTACTCGATATGGTAAATTTGATTAGCACAAAGGGTACTTGAGGGGTAAAACCCTCGTTCTGACAGCATCTACCTTTCTGGCCGGGGTTTTCAGGGGGAATTCCCCTTCAGGAGAACATGTAATCTCCGGCTTGAACTCGGTCGAAGTCCAAAACGTTTTCTCTTTCGTGAGCGGGGCGTGAGCGAAACGACGGCTAGATCTTTGACATTCAGGTTTCACCAGGAGAGTAAATCTGAATTTAATAGTCATCACTTGTTTGTCAACTTAGAAGTACGTGCTTGGACTTTTGGCTGATTATCAAAAGCCTGCAGGGCTATGTGATATGGGGAATTATTTTTAAGGTCAAAAAATAGGCAAAGTTAATTACATGTATCACACATATTTTCACTGCGTGCTTCAACATGCATTTGGACGTAAAAAAAAAAAAAGCTGTTCAATTCTTTCGTGTGTTTGAACGCACTTTAACTTCAGAAAGAGAAAGGTTGAAGGAAAAAGAGTCCCCCTTGCCACCTACGTCACGTCCTGTTAAACCTGTCCAACGAGAACACTCAGGGGAACCGTGGTAGTGTCCACCTTGCGCAGGGTTTTAAAACCATTGCACTCTCAAGGGTGAGCAGCAAAGATTTTCTTCTTCTATTAGCCATACATATTCCGGCAGAGATGTTATGTGAAGAAAGAGAAATGTCAATTTGGAGATATTGCCTGATTTAACAACAAATTCTATAGGTTAAAACTGTAAAAAATATGTGGTAGAGAGTGGGGAGAATTTATAATCAGATCTGGTGAATGAAATTGCACTACAGGCTCACGCAAACTGCGAAATGATAAGCACCTTTTGAGAGCGTTTCAGGGTCAACTGTACTTATCATTGCGATAACTTTTATTCATCGAATTTCATGCATCTTTCTTCGTGTTTAAAACTTGTTCCAGCGAATTATCTAAAGACAAGCTTTTTGCAAATGTTTTTGGTTGAATAATTGGCGCGTTTTGCTTAGTGTAGGTTGTCGTTTGACTTGCCGATTTGGCACATCAAGGTATAATGACATTGTGTAGAATTGGATAATAATTTGAATTGTACAGCAGGAAGGATTCATTTAGCAGTTTTCAGTCGTAAAATCCCTTAGAGTGTCCTTTCACTCAGGTCGCGAGTCAAAAAAAACTCAGTTTCATTGTCCTCGTCCACCTCATAAGGCTGCGCGCTGAAACGGTGACGGTAATTCAAAGGGAGAAAGACAAAATAGGGTTTTATGTTTATTAGGTTAATATGACATGGGGTTCGCTCGATACAGATATTTTCACTGCTTTCCTCCAACTTCACATACTTGCTCACTGGGACCAAACAAACAAAACAAATGAAACGCAAACTCCCCATCAAAATGATCAGTTCTTCAGACAGAAGGCGTTAACACTCGTGTAAAATCACTAGCAAAGCAAAGCTCGTAAACGCGGGGGTTCATTGCACTTTACGAAGAAATAGAAATTGCTGTTTATCTCCACTTAACTAAACACACACGAAAACATGTTTACGAACAAGGTGCTGACAATGCGCATGCCAAGCGCGTTACTATTTCAATAGCAAAACCTTTTCTCCCAAAACAAAGCGCATTATTGTTATCTACAGGTGAGACCACTCAGCCAGGCATTAAGCGAAGGGAAACTTAATCTCACAATTGTTAGAGGACATCCGATCCTTGAAATGATAACAGCGGCGTATTTTTTTGACCTTTCACTCCGTTTCAGGAAGACGGGACGCTCCAGAGCTTCAGTAAGGCTCTAAAGGAGGGGTCGTGAGGGAGTCGACTCATATTATTGTGTCCCGCCGAGGGCTGTTCCTGACCTTCTTTTACCAATCGAGGCCGTGCAAGGCACGCAGTGGCGCCAGGATAGGTATTTGCACTGCGTTCACATTCCTCATAACTCGTCTTACAATTTTGCATGGAACCATTAAGACCTTAACATTGCAAGTCTTGCACTGGCTCAGCTCTCGTTGCGCTTACAGATTGGAAAAGATTCTGACACTTGTACAATACAGCTCCACTGAGAATGAAAAGCTTAGATGCAAATAACAACGAAAGGATTTTAAAACATGGTTACCTGCTGAAGCAAAGTGAATTTCTAAAGCAATGGAATCTTCGGTATTTTGTCCTTAGTAAAGAATGTCTCTGCTACTACAAAACCGAAAAGCAATCGGTAGAAGACGTACCTAAAGAGGTGATATTTTTCAACGACATGTCTCTTTATATAGACGAGCTGCCTGAAAAGCAGACAAAGTACTGCTTAAAGCTTGTAAAGCGATCAGTTTCGGCCGGCAAAATCGCAACTCGGACATTTCATCTGTGTTGCTTCTCAGAGCACGAAAGAAACGAATGGCTTTCGCAGATTCTCCACGCGAAAGCAATCGCGCTGGTGGTCGATCCGACAGCGTGGATGGGAAATCAGGAAGCTTCCACGCAAGACATGGATATTGAGCTTGCTAATTCAGCTGGCAGTGTCAAGCTCGCCCCTGCTAAAGTGATTTTGCAGAAGTGTCGGCGTAAGCTTTCTCTTAGTGCAAATACGAGGGATTCTCGAAACTGTTTGTTCCTAGATGACTGTAACGTAAACAGAAGAAGGAAATCCACGCCGCGTCTAAGTCAAGAATGGAGAAACACTTTAATGGTGATTTAACTCCTGTGCGCCCCTAAAAATCGAGAAGGGGGACAGACAATTTTGAAAAGAATAGTAATCTGCAGAATTTGTAAATGGAAGGATTTAGAAAAATACCTGATCGCTAGCAGCAGAGGAAAGAAGCAAATACTGTACAGTTTTTGCGCTGCATTTTGTGGCAGTCTGGATGGTTGATCGTTCAGTAAACTTCCACGTAAGCATTTATTAAAGTAAAAGAGTGAACATGAAGGTGAAGTAACTTTTACTCGTTTGTTTCGTTCAGTACTTTCCGGTCGATCAAATAGAAATATTTGTTAGAAAGAGTTTATTTTATTATATTTTTAGCTTGTTATATAACGACATTCGAGTGATGAAGTTGAATAGATGGAACTGGACTGAACAATAATTTCCATATAATGGTGAATCGAGTACATTACGTTTTAGGTTTGTGAAAAACATGGCGTTTTAAACCATTTTAAGTTTCACACTAATATCTGAAGCCCACTTTTAAATTCGGAAAAGCTGCCGAAATAAGTGGCGTCTCTTAAAAGAAAGGTTGAATGTCTGCTCCAACGGATGTTTCTCCGTGATTTAGAACATTGCTAGCAGTCGTACAATCGTTAATGTTAAGTTATTTTACTGATCGGCGATACCACTCAATTTATTTGAATTATTCATGCACGACAAAGAAAAAAAAAGAAAAAAAAATACTAGACGGGGGAAATTACCTGAAATCGGCTTTGATTGCATAATCAGTTGTCAAAACACAAGATACTTTTACTTTCAGAATTTAGCTGTCAAAGTTGTTGACAGTTAAAATCTGCACTATGCAGTAAGGTATTTATAAATTATTTCCATTTTGACCAATCTTTAGAGGTATTTAAGAGTCGTTAGGGAACATATGGTATTTTAGGAATATATTTTGCAGTCATTGCATGTAGCTTGTGTAAAACAGTTCATTTGATCAATATCCGTAACTAAGGAAATTCAAGACGCGCTCAACTATGTTGATCTTGTTAATTTTTCGATGAGAATTCAATAAAACACCATCAGTAGTCCATGGACAAAGTTTCATGTGAAGATAAAAAACAGTGTAATTATAGTTTCTGATGCATGCAGGTTTTCGAAAATGAACCGTTTGGGAAATAACCTAAGGAACCAACGGCGCAGTTGTTAACCATACGATAAAGGTCTTCTCACGGTTTATCTTTCGACAACTCTCTGGCATTAATCTTTGGCTTCTTGCCATTATTGTTTTTCCAAAAGGGCAAGAAAAACCATAATAGGTCATTCGTTTTCTATTTGTGATCTCAACAATCTGAGGCATTATGTTTGGGACAAATGCGCGTCTCTAAGACATTATGATACAACGATTTCATTCTTCACGCATAAAGAGTCCTATGGAGAGAGAAAAGGGGGGTCTTATACTATAGGCATAGCAAACTGAAAGAATTTCCTCCTAAACACGGGCACTGTTTCAGCGGCCACGGCCATCCCCTCACCTGAGGTTCACTTAGCGCTCCCTAATTCCCTCCCCCTCCGCAGAGGCCTGAAATCGAGAATTTCGTCACTTTGGCTGTCGGAAGAAATTAACTCAATTTTTGACTTTAGTTCTCCTTTGAGCAGAAACACAAATAATAATGAGATCGTTCGAATGGCGAAACGCGACAATTCACCACTGTTAAAATGAAGGAGATGCGGGAATGGTGGCACGGCAAATGCTCGATTTATTTTATGAACAAGATTACTGGTACTGGTTATCCCCCCTACTTCTAACCGATTGAGAGGTTTTTTCAGGGGGGGAGTTTGAAGCGCGGAACGGCTCATAAGGAGTCAAAAATGAGTAGGAGCGGAATTCCGCGCAATAGTTGACCTCCCCATTGATCCTTTGTACCCTAAGAGTGATTAGCATCTAATTTCTCCCTACAATATTAAGCCTGAATCACACATTAATGTCACAAGAATAATGGAAATGATCACCAACTAAAGAAGCGACTGATTATCAAACAAATTATCCTTGTCAGCGTTTCAGAAATTATGAGAACAGTATACTTTTTTTTATTTCTTCTACCTTAACCCTCCCCTCCCCCTTCCTACACGACATTGGCCTTAAATGTTAGTTTTCTACGACTGAAGCAGACTCAACAACGGCTTGGTTTGATTGCTGAACCGAAATTAATGCCGTGGACCCTTGAGTACGGCTGGAAATGATTGACTGTTTGTCTTCCAGTATTTTTCCAAATCCCGCTCGGATAAATTTGCAAAGCCGTTATTTTCACTGGTAGTACTTTGCTTTGTTGATATTAAGACGCTTCCGATGTTTCTACAACCTTCTCTAAATCTTCAAAGTCATCGAGAAACTCTAACTCAAATGTTGGGTTGTTGTTAGCTATAACAATGGCGAAAATTAAGTTTTAAACGAAAAAAGTCGGGGAAACAAACTTTGCTGGCAAGAAATTTCATCGACAGTGACGTCAGCCTGAACCATCTCTATAAACCATCCATCGTTCATGAAAATGAGTGTCGAAATGAGGGACATCCACATAACTACTAGTTCAATCATGACGGTCAGGAAATACACGTCGCAATCACAAGATTTACCCAAATCGAGGAAAGTAAGAGCACAGTTAAAAAAAAAACTTTCTATCCTCAAATGACGAAAAGAAGAACTTGCTTCTCTTGCGCAGACATTTCACCCTTAAAAGAAATACTTGATAAATCAGAATCTTGACGCAAACATCGTTGTAAATTTCATGCAGTTTAAAACGAGCCGAATTTTGACCAGGAACGCAGTTTATTGTCACATATAATGATAAATAATATTATTATTTATATATAGTAATGATATATTAGCTTATATATGTCATTATATTATATTCAATTTGTTTACAAGGCGGCAATTCGCCTGGTCGACTAACGAGTTTTTGTTTCGCAGTTACGTATCACCTAAATAAACAATATGTGTATTGCGGACCTATCTAATTTTCTTATCATATTACTCGTCCCAAGATTTGCCGCGGGATGCTCCTGCCCTCAACAAGAAATCAACAGGGTCAGGACCTCCTTGAGGCCAAGTTTGACTCAAGTTTAAAGAGAGGCAAGCTAATACAGGTAATGTGGCCCATGTTCCCAAATATATATGCTTTTATGTAAAGTTGAATGCATTCGTAGTGACAGAGAGTGACTCTTTCACGATTGAAAACCTTACGATGTATTTCCTCTTGAAATTGATCGGAGTCGATCTGTTGGCGTTCTGAAATGTATTTGCAGCCACCTGTTTTAGTTTTTTTTTGCACTTGATCATCTCCCTACTACTTGCGTTGCGCAACTTTCTTCGATTCTGGTCGTGAACAATTAAATATGCCGCTACAGGTGCATCTGGAGTTTATTTCCCAATGGATTTCGATTCATACGATGATGACGGGTCGAGTCTTGTTTGCCGCTATATGAAACATTTTCCCGGCTTGAAGTTACGTATTCTTTAAGAAATCGTTCAAAGTTTAAAGAAACATTAAATTTCGCCACCCATGCATCTTTCTTTACAAAGAAAATTGCGTCGAAATCGATTAATGTGAGCTGGATCAAGTGTTATAAGTGTTACTTTTTGTGTTGAAAAGAACAACTCTAACATCGTTACTTTGTTGCTTAGATACCTAAGTATTTATGGAAATTAGGTTTTAAAAATAAGTGTCACCAGAATTATGAGTCATTTGGAGTAACAGCAAGGTATCGGGTGAAAAATATATTTATGTAGGCTTTAATTAAGCAGCCAGTAGAAGCCTGCAAATGTAATTTGAGAGTACTTTTAGGAAAACTATTAATAGGAAAGGTTCAAGTAAGCAACATTTAACCCTCAAATGGAACACAAACACTATGATTGTAACAATAATTATCAGATTCCTTCTACCTGGTTCAGGAATATAACAGTCTCGTTATTCTATCATGTGTATTTATCTTAATTTGCAAATTCTCAATTTGTAAAAGATTTATGTACTAATTCTTCCTGCTATTTTCCAAAATTTTAGTTTTAAGAATTTCCTGTTGTGGTTGAAATTTTGTATTTTTTTTTTGTTAACATTTCTCTTTGAAATCTCAACAATGTTGTACGGAAATTACTTTCAATCACACATAGAGAGAAAGTTAAAAAAAAAAAGCAACATTGAGTGATTAAAATAACATTATGTGAACTTAATACATTTTTGCAATTCAAGTGGTCCATTAAACTCTCTGATTACCAGTAGCTGTTTTCTGTGGATCAGTGAGGAAGGATAAGCCAATCATCATACCCCCCAGCAGGAGGAGGTTACCAAGGGCAACCAATGCATCCAGGTACAGCATGCAATCAATATTAGGCTGACCTATCATCCTTTTTTTTAATTTAATTTAGGAGGTAAATTTCTAAAGAAACTGTGGTGCTGTGTTGGTGGGATAGTATAACAGGGTAATTTAGTATTATCAACTGAGTTGATAACCTAAACTAGGGTTAGCCACTGTAAAGAGTTTTAAAGCTGACATTTTGAATCTTAGCCCTTTGTCAGTGTGAATGGCAAAGGGCTAACACTCAAAACATCTGCTTCTTTTCTTCTTTACGATGGCCAATTTACGCCACCAATGCAGGTGGTAATACTAAATTACCCTTTTTTATACCTTGTTTAGGTAAAGATTTGAAACGAAGACAGAAATTTAGGTAGAAATTGTTATGAAATTACCTTATTGACCATTAATTAACCCTGTATTTCCCAATATCTGATCATCCATTCTCCCTTCTAGCTGCTAAACATTTCTTCGTAAATCAGTTATAAGAATTTGGTATTAGATTAAAATAACAAGTTCTACCCAATTACTTTTAGTGTTCTAATTACCTGTTTTCTAGATAATGTATGGATAATATAGGAAGAAGTTACATGTTAATCACTTCTTGGAGTTTAAGGGCTCAAGGCAATTTTCTAATGCAACATTGATCAGCAGTTGTAGACATTCAAGATACTAGCAGTTCAAAACTGAACAGAATGACAAGCTTGTGTTTTTACTTTATGATGGGACAGTACTTGGCTATTTGGCTACTTGGCCACTCACTATTACAATAAAATTGGTAGGTAGTAAAATATAGCCAATCACATGACAGGTATATTTAGTTGGGAGAATTTGTCAAGAAATCAGAACACTTTTACTGAAGACCTTCTTTCAAACCCATCTATATAATAGCTGATAGTTTTTGCTAATTTCTTATTTACAGATACACAGCAACCAGGTTATGGATCTAAAGCTCCTGCACAAGGAGTACCTCCACAAGGATATGGTCCTCCTCACCAAGGTTACCCACCTCAGCAACAGCCAGGTTATGGACCACCCCAACAACAAGGAAGTTATGGACCTCCTCAACAAGGAGGTTACACACCACCTCAAGAGCAACCAGGGTATGGCCCTCCTCAGCAAAAACCAGGCTACCCACCATTGCAAGGTCAGCACCAGTATGATGGTGCACTACCCCAATACCAACGGGGGTATGGAGGTGCACCTAACCAGCAGCAGGTTTTCACCCGTCTTACAGGTCAGTAAAAGGTTATGGCACGTTGTTTGTAACACACAGTTGTCTAAGTGGATGGAAGTGGTGATAAATGAGTAACTCCTTAACTGTTCTACAAAGCAGTTGTACGAACTCTGTATGAACATTTTATAACTGTAGTTCTCTTTTGGATACAGCTGTCTGCAAACGTTTTTACCAGATAGCTTGGAAACATGCAGTGCTGAGAAATAAAGATGATGAATTGATGAAAAATTATCAATGATTTTAATATGTGCTTTATGTAATTTGTAGGTGAAGCACAAACCCCAAGTTATACTGGCTCAGATGTTCCTGATCAAGATGTAGGTGATAATGAGAATGCCGCACCCCCTTCCCCAAGTGCCCCTCCCACTGACATGTTTGGAAAGTTTGCTGGATATGAGTCTGTTAGCTTTGGTAGGTATTTGTGCTAAATATACCACTAAGTTAGAGATCTAACAAGTTCTTAAATAAAGATGTGTACTGTGTTATACCCTGGTTAATAGTGCCAAAGATCT